GAGCCTGTGTTTCGGCGGCCGCCGCCGCCGCCCTTATCCTCGCCGCCGCCGTTACCCCTGTCGGCCGCCAGGACACGCCTCAGTTTCGAAACCTGCTCCTTGGCGAGGGCAACCATCGCCGGTACCATGGCGGACACCAGGGATGCCTGGGTGGAGCTGGCCACGCCCCGGGACTGTCGGGCCTTGACCCCGTGCGCGATCACCGCCATCTTGAAGAACACGAAAGCGAGGCCGAGCTCGGCCACGCCCGGCCCGGCCACCCCTCTAATAGGGTCGCCGCCGCCGCTACCGCCGGCAGCAAGAGTGGAAGCAGTCTTTCGGTAGGCGGCCATGAGCTCCGACTGCTGCGGAATCCCGAGGGCCTTGAGGTTTAACCCCTTCAACCCCGCGAGCGGAGACGTGGCAGACGGAGGGGAAGACAGGGTCGACGGACGTCTGTTCTCCCTTGGTCCGGCGAGTGCAGCGCCTCCTACCCCGGCTCCTCTCGACGCCCCTACCGCTGGTGCTGCCGCTGCCGACGCCATCGCCGCCGCCGATGCCGGCAAGTGGTGCAAGATGCACAGGTTCGCGAGGTCGGCCAGGGGGTGGCCAAGCGTCGAGAGCTCCCAGTCCAGGACGGCGATGACGCGCGGCTCCGCCGGGTGGAAGACGAGATTGTCGATTCGGAAGTCGCCGTGGACGATTGCAACACGGTCCTGGACCACGCTTCCCGAAGCGATGAGCTCTCTCAGGTCTCGCACGACACCATCGAACCCTTCGATGGGCCCTGCGTCTTCCGCCTACGTGGTGTGGTATGGATTCGTGTTCCAGCGAACAACAGCGAGGAAAGGGAAACACACCCGTCGATTTCAAGTGCCGTCATTTAGTTTTAGATTGAAGAAAATCAACGAACTCGGGGTTCAGGTCAAATAACGTATATATAACGTGATAGATAGCGCACAAGCGCTGCATGTGTAAACCAGAAGATTCGATCGGCATCCCGTCGACAGTATCACGGTGCACCTTCACAGTATATTGTAACGCCAGCGGTTGTGAGAAACGTTGCACGTACGTGTGGTTCTACACGGGGACGAGCACGGCAACGCCGCAGCTTTTCAAAATCCCCGTTGCGCTCATGAACTCTGTACATCGACCAGACCAAAGGCCGTGACAACCCCAGTCAACCACCCGATGTGACCTGCATCGCCAGGATGCAGATTAAGATCACGAGGGTTTGTTTCTACACACTACCAGTCAATATATTAATAGTAGTATTACCAGTCAATATTTGCTCCGTACACGCAAGCATAAGCAAGCACGCAAGCAGACACCCGTCCAGTCACCACAATGTTGCTTGGTGGTATTGAGTATTTTTTCTCCCTTGAACTTCAGAAGCAGGACACTGCTGTCCTTTAACTCCTGCGCCCCCCCTGTCGTCTTGAGAACCCTTCCGAGTGGAGAGAGCATAGCCGCGCCTTTTTTATCTCGCTGTAAGACGGGGGGTCATTTGATTGGTCAGCCGGTTGTAGCGACGTCTTTCTTCATCGGTCGGCCGGTTGTATGCATAGCGTAGGGCTGACGTCTTTTCATCGGTCGGCCAGTTTAGAGCAGCGGGGTTGATGCTACTGCAAGATAACACACACACGAACACACCTACAGTAGTACCTGCTTCGCAGCCACCCTCTCGAGCGTGGCCACCTGCCGCCCCAGGTACCCACCCTCGACCCTCCCGAACCCTTCCAGGCCGGCCCGCATGAAGTCCACGTGGTGCAGCCTGGCCAGCGTCTCCGCGGCGCTCTCGTACGCCGCCGCCCGCTCGGCCGGCGCCAGGCCCGGGAGCGCGGCGTCGGAGAAGATGCGCCCCTGCACGAACTCCATGACGTAGAAGGCGGTGCCGATCACAAGGGGGTCCTCGCAGAGCAGGAGGGGTCGGGGCACGGGGACCTCGGAGCCCGGGTCGAGCCGCAGCGCGCGGAGGATGCGGAACTCTCGCTCGACTGCGTGGGCGGACGAGACGGTGACGCTCGCCGGCTTCTTGCGGAGAACGAACTTCCTTTTGATATTGGTCCTGCTGCTGGTTGTTGTTGTTGTTGATGATGTTGCCGCTGCTAGCGGCGGCGAAAGGTGAACCTCGAGCAAGAAGGTCGGGTTCGATTGCCCGCTCGAGAACTTCTTGAGCTCGATTCGGAAGCCGTCGAAGCCTTCGTGCCCCGTGCCGGCTGCCCACGCGCCGCTCACGCCACTGCCGCCGCTCCCGGGGCCATGAGTCGACCAAGCATGTTGTTGTTGTCCATGGTCTCCTTGCGCACTGCTGTTGCTGCCAACAACATCATCGGGGGAGACGATTTCGGAGAGATGATCCCACAGAAAGCGGCGCAACGGAGGGATCGGGAAATCGATCGCCATCCTGTCTTGAGCAAAGTCTGTAGGGGTGGGAGCCTTATGGTATGTGTGCAGGCCGCCTGTTGATGCGTACATTCATACAGCCAAGTGGTGCAAAGTGGGACATGAGCGGATGAAGCAAGCACAGAGCAGGCAAAATGCGGCGAGTTGCAAAGGTGACAGTTCAGTGCAGACCGACGGCACCAAGATCTCCGATCTCCGATCGCATGTTTAGGAGAACCGCCGCTGCTTCTGTCCTCTTCGACCAACAGCCGACCAAAGCCCGACCAAGAACTTTCCTTCGCGCCGTGCGTTCGACACGAGAACATGTACGGGGCCTGCGCTAAGCTAGGTTCTGCTGCCTTAATTGTGCTGGCACACATGCACTTCGCCAGAGCGCTCATCTCTTGGCGTCCAACAGGTATGTTACGTACACTACTGCTGTACTAAACTGGAGCAGTGTTTAGGTCGTCATCTGTTTTGAATTCAAAAGACACCTGCCACGTAAGTATGTGGTAATGTAACATGCTTGGTCGTTCAAGTGTTACGTTCCGCGCAAAGTCGCCACACGCCTGTTACTTGGCAGTAGGGCGGTAAAGTGTCATCAGGCTTTGTTTTGGTGAACGGCAAAATGGGAATTTCGATGTTGCAGCAGTTGCCCGGTCGGTGTAATATCGTTGTACAGGAGCGGTAGGGACCCTTTTTCTGAGAAGCGACCCACACAATCGCGTGACCAAGCTGCTGCTGCACCCCGACCAACAGCTGCCATACCGGCGATAGCGACCTGCCTTGAGTAACGAACATGTTCACCTCCTGACTCTAGAGGTCGCTACACCACCGCCACCACCAGCTGTACTGCAATTTCCTCTGTTCTTCACCCTTCGGTTTATGTACAGCAGTGTAGCGCTGTCCTGCTGCAGCCGCGCATCCCCCACGGTCTTACTCCATGCACAAGTGTCATGCCACTGCTGCTGTGGCTGTATTTCTCTTCTGGGTCGATTTGTTGTCGTTCCTATCGCAAGCTTCCCCCTCGTGGAACCAACCAGTCCTCCGGGGTCGGCCCGGTGTCTGGAGCGAAGCCGGATTCGGCAGTAGTAGCAGTTGGAATCATCAGCGGCTGCGGCGCCGGCGGCGTTGTGGCAACTTTCATCAACGGCGACAAACAAGGGCACCTGCACTGACAATGCTTTTCGAAAAGGTCAGCCATCATGTTTTTCGAAAATTTTGTTTCAAGGGGGGGAAGACGAGCAATTTTGATGTTGACGAATTTTGAAAACAAACGCTAGAGGTCCAGAAATTGTACAACAGACACACGAGACCAGTCGGGAGGCATCGCGAAAAACAACAATCGTTGGTTCTCGCACAGGGCGGCAGTAGAGGCTGCTCAAAACGTAGATTTAACGCGTCTACGTCCACACGCCTCCTTTGAAATCAAGATAAAAATTCGCCCCTCTCTAAATTCTAGTCGAAAGAGCCAACACGAAAGGCGCTCAAATAAGGTCAGTTTCGAGGATTAGGTTAGGCATTCTATTGTCAGGAGTAGAGGACATCATGAAGAGGTGTCGTGCGTGCTGGCACGTTCAGGTTTGCTACTGGAGCTGAGATATAGAAGGTCGCAAGAGCCTTTGAAAACAGTCCGAAATCTGGGCCGGAACCAAGCGGCGTCCAATATTTGTCACAGCCATGCTCGCCGCCACCGACCCCAATCTCCTGAACTACGGGTTTACAGCAGTAGCTCATGCTACTACTTCTGCTGACACCATCCGTTCAGGGGTTTACGGTCCGTGGCGGTGAGCATGGCTGTGACAAATGTTGGATGCCGCTTGGTTCCGGCCCAGATTTTGGACCGTTTTCAGAAGTTGATGCGACCTTCGATATTTCCACTCCAGTAGCAAACCTGAACGTGCCAGCACGCACGACGCCTCTTCATCGTGTCCTCCACTGATGACAATAGAATGCCTAACCTAACCCTGGCGGGAAGGTTGCTTTCTCTTTTTGTATAGGATTAATGTATGGGAAAAGAGCCAGCGTCAAAACCACTGTTCTTGCCCCCCTTTGACGTGCTGCCTTTGAAATCTGTGGACTTATAGACGGGAATTGATTGCCACAGAGCCTGAGACGAGCTCTGGAGCACAAGCGCCTACCAGGTATTTGCTCAGCTCGTTTGTCAGTTGCAATCGACTTTCTTGGCGTTTCCCGTTCGAGATTTGGGAGAGTTCGGATGAAACCAACTTCAACCTGTTCGGCAGTTCATTACGATGCTGCGTGCGCTTGTGGTGCATACAGCAGAACACACCCAAGGAACTTGCAGCTACTGCTGTATGGATTTTGAGAGGAACCTGACCAGGTTCCGAGCTACACTTAAGAAACAATCGTGGATGCTGGCGCAAGCACCTTGTCATCACACTTTCGAGCCCCCATCCAGAGAATTGCTCCGGAGAAGTGTTGCTCAATTTCCGTCGAAGTACCGACTATCGAGTTTACCGAGTTAGTTGGGCAAGGCAAGAAAAGCCTCGCTCCTGGCCAGGTCTATCATACCCACGTGACGTCCACGTAGCCCCCCGGAGAACCCGCAGGTCATTGTTAACTCCGAGTACCGCTAAACAAACAAATGAGGTATACCTCTGCCGCAACATATAATGACAACGGAGATCGACAACGCAGAGGCCGCAAGACAAGAACATCGCGGTTTAGGCGCGAGGATCTCCCGGAAGCCCCCAATATCCGGAGGACGTCTGCGCGTGCATCACGCGATACACCGCTTTGGTTGGCATCTACGCGCACTGTTTGTTGTTGTTGCTGTTGTTGCTTCTCACATTAGTTCTATAGTCCACAAAAATGGGGAGCCCGTGGTCTCAAAACCCGGCACATACGACGCCGCGGGGAAACAAAAACAAAAATAGGGTACAAACCACTCGGAAAAAGAAAACAAAAAGAAAGAAAGAAACAGCAACCGCACCTACCGGTCGAGAAAAGGGCCCTCGGAAAGCGGTCAAAATAAAACAAAGACAAAAATACTAGTGCTGATGTTCCCTGCCCCCGTCCGTTCAAGAGGATGTCCTGTTCCGCGCCATGCAGCGATACCAAACTCACTCTACACTGCTGTTCGCATGCCGACTTTGCATGGAAAAGATACAGTAGGACATTCCCCCCCCCCCCCCCCCCCCCCCCCCCCCCCCCCCCCCCCCCCCCCCCCCCCC